CCAAGCCAATCTTCTCAGCCCCCTGCACAATCGATACAGTAATATCACCTTGATCTTTTATACCAAGAAAACGAAGATTTTTCTGTCGTGAATTTCGCTCACGAGCATTCATGTCAAACTGTAGTTGGCCTAGCTGCTGCTCAATTTCTTCCGTTTTTTTTCAACAATAGATAAACGTTGTTCAATCCGTTTTACAACCGCATCTTGCAGTATATTAACAACATCCTCTGGTCCATAATTACCTCGCAATGCTTGAATTTGCTCTTTCACATGATTATCATTTGAAAGAATTTCAAAAATATCATTTTTGATGGATTCTTTGTTGATTAATGGAGTGGATGTTGTTGTTGACTGTGTAGGACGCATTTTGTGAGTACGACGACTTGTAAAATATTCGATTTTTGAAGATTTCATTTTGTGATCAGACATAACGCAGACACGTGTTAGAGAGTGTACAGTTAACTATAGAAGAACAGACATATACGTCTTTCTCGATGAAGAATAAAAGTAGAAAACCAAATGTTTCTTTAAATCTTGCTATATATTGAGAAAAGATGCGAATAATTCAATAAGCTTCAGTTCTTGTTGATCGAAATTGACCGTTTGCTCATGTTTTGTAATTTTCTATTTGATATCACCTTTCGTAGGATCCTTTTGCACATAAGAGTCAATAACAAGTTTCACTATACCTTGAGACATTTACGCATTATACTCTTCTCCATTGTTTGTCACACTTTTTCCAAAGTCTATGAACGTTATTTTTAGAGCTTCATCATTATAGAAATATTACCCATATGATTGTCGAGATGTGCAGTCCGACATCGCACTAAAGCTTTTTGGCATACCAATAAACGTTTTGCTAACTGTTTTACTGTACAAACACCAATGGGCTGACTTTTACATTTGGTTTCCAAGTTAATACCATGCAGTTTCTCAAACACTAGTGCATGATTCCCAGCAACTTGTTTTCATTTTTCTGTGTTGTATTAGCTCGGGTACAAGTAATGCAACTTCTGTTTCCGACAGTATTTGGCTTTTTAAAGAAGAGTATTCAGCTCTCATGTAATTGAAATTTATCGTTTTCTTATAAATTAAAAATTAAAATTTTTGATATTCTGATATACATGTTTTTGATATCTGAATTGGGATATCGAAGTATGTCCTGATGGAGATATAATTTCAAACTATATCCCATTCGGGATATGAGAAAGCTTTTGCTGTAAAAAATGATATCCCGATCCGGATATATGCCCCGATGGGGAGTACATCACGATTCGGATATGTCTGTATTCGGATATGTCGTACTCAATTTGACTAAATTGCATTTATCTCAGATAAAAATTGCTTGCCATTTCGCCTGCACAATGAACTGTGAGAGTATCTGGTAATAAACACGATGGTAGGTTTTGTCATCTTTACATCTCTTATGTCTATTACACGAGGAATACATCGAAAAAACGATCATGTGCAACATTATTCGCACCCAGAGAAGTAACTAGGGCCATCTCAAAGCGGGAAGAGCAGGGGTTCGAATGGTGGAAACTTTTATCGAAAAACAACTTCAGAAATAGTTTTCGTGTCATGATCAGCCACAGCTGTTTTTAACCTTCCTACATGCCGTCATCTTTCAATTCATCCAAGATCTTTCAAAACAGTGTGGCACAGACCAATTTCTCATAGATTTTCCCCAAAATAAGCAAAGATTATGTTTATTGTAGTCCATAACAATGAAAGGATACTTTTTCATTAAAGATAATAACAATCGTATCCACACAACCATCAATAATTTCTGATTTCAAAAAATCTGAAGCTTCCGATTACAATCTGTAATCATCAACATTTATAGGTTACATCATTACTTGTAAGGAGGGTTTATTTTTATCTAAGATAAAACAAAGGCGTCGCTGCCTTTGTGGATTTGTCTCATTGCTGCGGCCAGCTCTTTAATTAGATTTCTCCAGTATCTTGTAAGCCAATCACCATCGTAAGCCACGAAGTTTAACCTGACTTCCGGTAACAACTGAATAAATCAAGCACCGGCGTCACCTGTTGTGCATCTGAACAATGATATTACTCATATAAAAAAACATCACGCCAATTTTCGTAATAGTATTGCGGTTTTGTAAAAGCTAGTCCATAAAGATAATTCAAATTCTCTAACGAGGGAACGTTCTCAGGTGTCGGATTCCGATTTCCTTCGTTCATATGCCGATCGATAGGTCATATGGAGATATGAAAAAGCCTAAAAGGATAGCGGCGCAATTTGCTTCCTTCATAAGTTATACG